TTGATCAACAATAGCAGGTATATGAACCTGAATATTGTCAAGAGTAACTGTATGAATTGGATCTGAAGCCAATTCCTCCTCAAAAGCAATGTCTCTAACCTTATTTCTCCCCCCAAACTCAACATCCTCAAAGAATGTTGTTGTTCTCGTCTCAAAAATATTCCTGAGTGTGTGATCATAAAACTTATAGGCCCTAGAGCGTTCAGAATACCCAATAAAGTAGCTGCTAACTGTTTTGGAGTCCAATTTTTTTTCATTTGGCCTATAAGGCCTTGCCTCAGCCGGACATCCCCAAATATGTAAGTGCTTTAAATTGGGCTTTCGACCAGTCCAAAGCTCATAAGGTGTTTTAGCAACTGTTTTACTTGGTACTCTATTCAGAATGTAAGCTGTTGTCTTTAGTGCTTCTCCCCAGAGTGACTCTGGTAAAGAAGAATGAGCAATCATACTTCTTACCATATCCTTAAGAGTCATGTTTCGTCTTTCAGCTACACCATTCATGCTAGGTGAACCCGGCATGGTGTACTGCGGGACGATTCCGCATTCCTCTCGGTATCTAGCAAATGGTCCTGGACGTTGTTCAATTGAACCATCATATCTGCCGTAGTACTCATCACCACGATCAGATCTAACGGTTTTAATTTTTCTATTGAGTTGATTCTCAACTTCAGCTTTATAGGCTTTGAACATGTCCAAAGACTCAGATTTTTCATGAATAAGATATAGGTACCCATAACGTGAGTAATCGTCTATGAATGATATAAAATATTGTTGACCATTCCAGGATACTATAGGGAATGGCCTACAAATATCCGTATGTATCAATTCTAAGACATCCGAAGATCTGTTGGCACCTAATCTCTTAACTTTGGTCTGTTTTCCCTTGATACATTCAACACATACGTCGAAGTCCGAAAAATCAAGGGAATCCAAAATGCCATCAGACACAAGACGCTCAACTCTACCTTTTGAGATATGACCCAAGCGCTTATACCATAATGTTGCTGAATTTTTCTTATTTAATTTATGCTTAGTACCACGCGATTCTGCTTGCAAAGTTTTATTATAAGAGGTAATTATATCAAGCAAATATAGGTTGTCATAAGTACTTAAGTAACCAGTTCCCACAACATTTGAATTAAAAGATAAACTGAATTGATTGTTTCCAAATGAACAAGAATAACCTGATTTGTCCAATACAGAAACTAAAATCAAATTCCGTCTAAAAGATGGTACTACAAAAGTATCTTTTAAATCCAAATAAGAACCAGTTCCTAATAGAAACCTAAAGTGCCCAATTGCTTCCACATCTACCAATTGTTCGTCACCCACAAAGATGTGTCTTTTAACATCACTTGGCTTTCGGTAACTCAGGCAACCCTGCATAGAAACACTTATGTGAGTAGTAGCACCAGACTCTAACCACCAAGTGTTTCTAGGTACTGAAGCTAAATTAACCTCAGAACAGACCAAAGTAAGGAACGTACCCTTATTAGCACGTCAGGCGTGATATTTGGTACAATCCTTCTTTACGTGTCCAAACTTGTTACAAAAGAAACAACCCTGATTATCCTTATGTTGTTTCTTCTAAATTGGACCCTTAGCAGCTTCATTATATTTCTTTCTTTTCTTGCCCTTATCCTCAGAAGCATAAGCCAAATAAGCACTTTCTGTCTTATCTTGCTTTAACCTGTCTTCTTTTTACACACAGTATGAAATGAGATCATTTAGAGTCCATTTCTCCTTTTGGCAGTTATAACTAACCTTGAACTGACTGAATTGTGCAGGAAGAGACAATAAAACCAGAAGCACCAATAACTCATCACAAAGATCGAGTTTAAGTGCCTTAAGTTTTGAAGCAATATGAGACATTTCCATAATGTACTCACTGATATTTCCTTTGCCCTTATACTTCATCGAAATCAAGCGAGCTAAAAACGTGCTTGTTTCTACCTTATCGTTTTTTTGCAAAATGCTTCTCAATTTCGGCAAGGAAATCTTTAGCCTTAGTAATCCCTTCGGATTCTATGTCCCTGAAGGCTTCCGGAACGCCGCGCTTAATTATCATAAGACTCATGCGATTTGAACGCTCCCACTTCTCATTGAAGGCTTCCGGAACGCCGCGCTTAATTATCATAAGACTCATGCGATTTGAACGCTCCCACTTCTCATACTCCTTCTTTGCATCAGAAGTGCTATCCGTATTGAAAGGTTGAGATTGTTCAGTTCTTAATGCAAGGTCTAGATCCATGCAGCCAAGAACAATTAATATGTTCTCTTTTCAAATCTTGAAATTTGTCCCATTTATCATGGGAATTGAGTTGATGTTAGCAGAAATTGTTGCAGCAGATGCATTAGCTGAAAAACAAAAAAAATGCTCACATTAATAACCATAATTAGTAATCAATAAAATTTAAATAATGACAAATCCTATCCAAGATATCTGGTACAACATTAATATCAAGTCTTTAGACAGTAATATTAATTACAAGTGATATCTTGTTGCAACAATCAAACACTGACAATAACACATGTCAAATAATGAAACTATCTTTGGATTGATTCACTATCCACATGTAAACCTTATAATTGTCACATGTTTATCATCACAGACGTGTATGCAGTCTAAATAAATATTAACCTTCCTTTGGGCCGATTAAATATTTACACGAAAACATACACACAAACATCTGACATCCCTCATGATCAATCTACACAAGAGAAGTTACTTTGGCAACATCTTGTTTCAATTAATCATTTGGAATGAGAGACAACTTAATATCTTAGCGTCATATTATTTGAATGAATGAGAGACAACTTAATATCTTAGCGTCATATTATTTGAATAATTGATTAACTACCAAAATTAATTCAAATTAAACAACTTAATTTGAATTAGAAGAATTTTTCATAGCTTAATTAGGGCCCATAACTTAATTGAATAAATTAAGTATACCAAAGTGGACCCATAATTTAATATGAAAAAGCTAAGGCTTAACCATAGTGAACACGAAGTTCTCTTGACTTGGAACACGAGGTTCGTTTGTATTGAGTACAAGACTCACCTAAGAACAAACGCGAGGTTCGTTTGAAAAAATTTAAAAAATGAACGTGATGTTCAACTTGAGAATGAACGCAAGATTCGTTTTGAAAATGAACGCGAAGTTCGACCTGAGAATGAACATGATGTTCAACTTGAGAACGAACGCGATGTTCAACTTGAGAACGAACGCGATGTTCGACCTGAGAATGAACGTGATGTTCAACTTGAGAACGAACGCGGGGTTTGACCTGAGAATGAACGCGATGTTCAACTTGAGAACGAACGCCGAGGTTCGTTTGGATTGAGCACAGGGCTCGCCTAAAGATGAACGCGGAGTTCGACTTGAGGATGAACACGAGGTTCGACTTGAATTGAGCGCGAGGCTCACCTGAGAACGAACGTGAGGTTCGTTTGAATTGAGCGTGAGGCTCACCTTAGAACGAACGCAAAGTTCGTTTGAATTGAGCGCGAGGCTCACCTTAGAACGAACGCGAAGTTCGTTTGAAGCTTTCAAGCCTCGCCAAAAATTAAGGTAACCAACTCCTTAATTCCCGCACGTTTTCACGCACGAACCCTTAGGGTTTCATTCTGAAACCGCCGCCACCATTGCTCCTGCACCTAAGGTCGAAACCCTAGGGTTTTCTGACGCCGCTGTCGCCGTCGGAGTCGAAAGCGAGGCCGCCAGCGATACTTCGTCGGCGAGGAGCACGGGACCGACGACCAAACAAAATAGATCAAAAAATTCCTCGATTTTATTTCAAAACTAGATCCAGAATCGAAAGATAACTTCTTGATCCAGATCCTAAAAATAATTATTGTTCACGGAAATTTACTGTTCATCCGTGAACAGTTCTGAGAAAAATCATAGATTTTTAAGATCAAAAAACCCAATTTTTAAGAACTTAAACCCCTAAGAATTAATCACGGGTGGCTCTGATACCACTTGTTTGATCTAAGCGTGATTAAATCATAGAGATTAAACATTAAGAGCAGAAGCTTATACCTGAATCCATAGATTGGACTTGAGTTGGGTTTTGGATCTTCTAATCTTAGGGTTTCTCTCCTTAATATCTCTTTAGATGGGGATAAGAGCATGAGAGTGGCTAACCCTACATTAGGGACCATAACCCCATATATATAGGTATTGTACATTTGTAATTTGGCCCCTCATCAAATTACAATTACAACCTGGTATCTGCACATATAACCCCATGATTTATTTAAATACCCATTAACCCAAATCAATTGATCACTTTAGTGGGTTATCCTGAAGAATAGCAATACACACAGATTAATTATATGTGCCCACAAATAGATTTAATTAGATTTAAATCCAACAATTTTATCATCTTCCTTCACCTACATTTCCTTTCAAAAAATTCTCAAACAAAATGAACATTTTTCCGCCTTTCTTTGTCCTTCATTCACCATTATCCAAATAGAGTGTAAAGCAGTGGCAAATCCCTCTTGACCAAAGTGGGTTCACGTGACCCCAGTTTGGTGAAGATGGACCAAGAACCTAATTTGTTAACCCAACTAAAAATGGTACATTTCACGAAACCCCTCTTAAGTTTGGGTTCTCTAGAAAAACCCCTTGAACTTTCATTGTTTTTCCAAAGGATCTCTAAGAATGCGTGAACCACATTCTAAAAGGGGTACATTTTACGAAATCCCTCTCAGATTTGGGTTTCCTCAGAAACCCCCATAAACTTTTAGTGTTTAAGAGTGAAGTTGATTTTTTTGATATTTACCCACTAAAAAACTCATTGTGCAATTCAAGGTCCGAACTAGGAAACCCGTGATTTGTGACATACATACACTATGATATATTTGGATCTCGTGATTAGTAACATACATTGAGAAAGGATTAAGCGCGTGTGAGTTGGGCGGGATGTCTAAAGGCGCATTTTAGTGGGCGACTCTTCCTGCTATTGTGCGCCTCTCCGCCTAGATTTCAATGGCGAGATCGAGGAAGAAGATGAGTGGAAGTAAGGGGAAGGGAGCTCTTACTAAGGAGATTAGGGATTCTATTTTCGTATATCCTTCATCGATTGGGATCTCGGCGAGCTCTGGATCTAGATTGGATGAAACAGTGAATTTCTTGTCATCTCAGGAGATAGAGAGTGCATCTCAGGAGATGGAGAGTACAGGTCCTAAGGGCGCAAAGAGAAAGATGTCTATGGAAGAAATTCTTGCTAGGACGAGATCGTTGTCAGATCCGCCTCCTCAGATGGATGCTGGTCAGCAGATCTCTCATCAGTTAAGTAAGTCTCCCTAATCTTGGGCTGATGTTGTTGAACAAGAAGATGAATCTAAATTACCTGTGGATCCTTTCTTGGATGTTGGTAGAGATGTTGTTCAGCAGAATGAAAATCTGAGTGTAGCTGATCACATTGATGAAGGTAAGCAGTATGAAACATCTCAGGGAAAAGTTATGGATCTGGATAATAAAGTTGACGATCTTAAGATTCTTGATAGAAAAGAACAGGGAATTAAGAAATCTTTTGTTAGCCTATTTTTAGACAATAGAAAAGCTGGAAGTGGATTAGCATTAAATTTTGTTCCATCCTCTCAAAAAACCATGGTTACATTTAATGAAGATGAATGTAATGAGGGGAAAAATCTTTGGAAATTTGCATTAATCGGGCATGTTATTGGGATGAATGTTAGATTTAAAGCCATGGAGTCCTTTGTTACTAAATTGTGGGGTAAAATCTCAATTCCAAAAGTATTTTTACTTAAGCCGGGTATTTTCTTGTTTGACTTTCAACATGAAAGTAATATGAGAGAGATACTTGAAGCTGGTCCATGGTTTTTTGGGGCACGTCCTTTAGTTCTTAAACCCTGGACAATTGACACTGATATTGAGAAAATTCAGGACCAAAAATATCCTATTTGGGTGCAATTTCCTAATTTGAGATTGAATCTATGGAGCTCCATTGGTATAAGCAAGGTTGCAAGTTTAATTGGCTGCCCTATCACTACTGACAAGCTCACTGCTACAAGGCAGAGGCTGAGTTATGCTAGGGTGCTATTGGAAGTTGATTTGCCTCTTAAAGAACCTTTGCCTGATATGGTTGAAATTCAAGGGCCAAATGGTAATAGCTACTGCCAGAAGGTTATATATGAATTTAAGCCAAGGTGGTGTTCCATTTGCAAAATGGTTGGACATGATACTCTTTAATGTAGGAAAAATATTGCTAGAAAGGTTTGTGTGCCTGTCAGGAAGCCTGATCCTGTTGTTGGATTGGCTAAGGCTACTGACAAACATGCACAATTGGAAAAATGTGCACAGATTGTTTCTAATTCTATTTAGTTTGGTAGTATTCCTGTACCTGGTTCTGTGTAGTATCCTGGCAAACATGCACATCATGAGAAACTTGCACAGATGGATCCTAAAAACTCATGCATGCATCAGCAAAATGTTTTGGTTCTGTTCAGGCTGGAAGTGAGCAGGAACATGTTAATATGGCTGGTTCTGCGAGTTTTACTGGCAAATGTGTACTTTATGGTAAACATGCACAGAATGATTCTGGTATTGTTCAAGAAGGGTGCTCCAAAGAAAGGCTTAAACAAAAAGCTAATTCTCCTACTGTCAATATCTCTGGTTTTACTACTGTCACTAGAGCTAGTGGTGCTAAAAGGTTTGGTATCAATTTCTCTACTCTTGATCATCAGATTTTTGATCTGGATCCCTCTACTTCTGATAGAGGGGGGAAATCCCTATAAATGCATTTGGCCATTTGGAATATTAGAGGGTTTAACTTGCCCTCTAAGCATGGGATAGTGAGAAAATTTATTCAAGAGTATAAAATAGTTTTTTTAGCTCTTTTAGAAACAAAACTAGCTGGAGGGAATTGCAGACTATTGGAAATACAGTTGCTAAAGATTGGAAGTGGTTATCTAACATACATATGGCAAATAAAGCTAGAATATGGATTCTATGGGATAGTGACATACTTTCAGTTCAGGAGGTTAAAACTTCTGATCAATATATTACATGTGATGTTAAATCCAAGGATGGGAAATTGTCATGTTTAATCACTGCAGTTTATGCTTTGAATCATAGTGATGGTAGGAAAGTTTTATGGGAGGACTTGTTATCTTTCAAAATGAATGTGGATTGTCCTTGGTTAGTGGGTGGAGATTTTAATGCTATAACTAGTAGTGATGAGAAAATTAGGGGTGCTCCAGTAACTAACACTGATACTGATGATTTCCAAAGCTTTGTTGCAGCTAGTAAGCTGGCTCATATAAAAACTACTGGCTATTTTTTCACATGGGGTAACAAGCAAAATGCTGACACAAGAGTATGGTCTAGGCTTGATAGGACTTTGGTAAATGAGGATTGGATTCTCAATTACACCACAAGTCGGGTTGAGTATTTGATGCCTCTCTATTCAAATCATTCTCCAGGACTTATAACTATTGGTGATGATAATTTTGAGGGTAAAAAGCCTTTTAAGTTTTTTAATATGTGGACAAAGCACCCTAAATTCCTGGAAGTGGTGAGGTCTGCTTGGAGCTTCAATGTCAGGGGATACAACATGTACAAATTTTATTCTAAGCTCAAGAATCTTAAACCTTTGCTTAAAGAGTTGAATAAGAAGAACTTTATGGATATTAGTCAACAAGTGCAACGAGCAAAAGCAGAATTATGGGATGTTCAAGAGCAGTTAAATTCTGACCTCTTCAATCCAGTATTGATATCAAAAGAAAAATTTTGTATATCAAACTACACTAAATTACTGGAATGTGAGAATTCTTTTTACAGACAGAAGGCTAACATTAAATGGGGTTTGCATGCTGACAAAGGAACATAACTTTTTCATTCAGTTATGAAATCTAAGAGGCATCAAAATAGAGTTCTATCTTTGTATACTGAGAATGGCACAAGGTTAACTGACATGTCTGAGATTACTGCAGAGTTTGTTCAATATTTCAAGAAACTTTTGGGCAATGCTAAAGGCACAATTGCTACTGATCCTAATATTATTTCAAATGGCCCTATTTTGAACTCTGCTCAACAGAGAGATTTAAGTTCTCCTGTTTCCAGAGATGAGATTAAACAGGCTCTATTCTTAATAGCTGACAGTAAGGCCCCTGGCCCTGATGGGTTCAATGCTGTTTTCTTCAAGCTAGGCTGCATGGAGTATTATCAGTGAGGACTTATTCCTGGCAGTAGAAGAATTCTTCTTGTCGGGTAAGCTTCTAGGCACTTTTAACACCACAACCATTACCCTAGTGCCCAAGTCTCTTAACCCAAATACAGCTGCAGATTTTAGGCCTATATCTTGCTGTAATGTTATATACAAAATCATCTCTAAGATTCTGGCCAACAGATTGCAGAAAGTTATGGGATACCTTATAAATGATGCACAAAGTGCTTTTGTGAAGGGAAGGCTTATTTCCAGTAATTTTTTGTTAGCCCATGAACTCATAAAGCAATATGGTAGGAAGAATATCTCACCCAGAGCAATCTTGAATATTGATTTAAGGAAAGCTTTTGACACCATTAGCTGGGATTTTATTAAGGCTATGTTGATTGGTCTGGGATTTCCTAATGTCATGATTAGTTGGATTATGGAGTGTATTTCCACTCCAAAGTTTTCTTTAGTCCTTAATGGTGGTTTACATGGTTACTTTCATGGTGCACGTGGACTACGGCAAGGGGATCCTCTTTCTCCCTACCTTTTTGTCATTGGAATGGAATTTTTATCAAGGAAGCTTGACACTCTGAAAGATGATAGGTTGTTTAAATACCACCCTAAGTGCTCAAGATTGAAGATAACACATCTTATATTTGCCGATGATTTGTTACTGTTTTGCAAAGCTGACATGAATTCTATTATGAAAATCTATGCTTGTCTTCATGAGTTTGGGTTAGTCTCTGGCCTGGAAGCAAATTTCAGCAAGTGTGCTGCACATTTTGGAGATGTTGATGATAGGATTAAAATTTAGTTTTGCAACTATCCGAAATTCCCAGAGGGTGTGCTGCCAGTGAAGTATCTTGGATTACCTTTAAGTGCTAAAAGGCTTTCTTATCTTTAATGCTCTAGTTTGCTTGCTAAAATCAATAACCAATTTTAGTTTTGGCAACAGAAAAGGAAGCTATCTTATGCTGGTAGACTTGAAATGATCAAGTCTGTAATTCTGGGTATTCAAACATTTTGGATTAGTAACTGTATTCTACCAATTAAAGTCTTGGAGAAAATTGATAAATTGTGCTCTGATTTCTTATGGGCTCAAAAAATTCATTTGGTTGCTTAGAGTTCTATCTGTCAGGGGAAGGAAAAAGGAGGTCTGGGGGTTTTTTCTGCGAAATCCTGGAATTGTGCAGCTGCCACAAAGCTTCTATGGATGATACATCTTAAAAAAGATCTTCTATGGATTAAGTGGATACATGGTAACTACTTGCAAAATCAAAATATTTGGGAGATTCAGGCTAGGAAACATGATTCTTGGATATGGAGACAACTTCTTAGAGTGAGGGATATGTTACTAAATAAATTTGGCAGTATTGGTAATGTGAAGAATGCTGTTGAGGGCTGCTTTACTAATGACAAACTCAAACTTTCTGAGATATATTTGAGTTTAATTCAGCCAATGCCAAAAGTCAGCTGGTCTAGCACAGTTTGGGATGGTTTTCTTTATCCTAAGCATTCTTTTATTCTATGGTTGGCATGTCATCAAAGACTCCTCACTAAGGACCGATTATGTAAAATGGGGATGATGAGTTTAGCTCAGAATCAGTGTGTTCTGTGCTGTGGTAATCAAATGGAAACAAGTAAGCATATCTTTTTTGAATGCCAATTCTCGGCTGATGTATGGAATAGGGTGATGGATTGGATGAGATTTAGATGGAGATCTTGTTGCTGGGACAGGATCATTAGTTGGTATTCTTGCAATCTGAAAGGAAGAGGGCCCTTGAGGAAGTTGAAAAGAATGTGTCTTTTAGCTACTGTATATATGCTCTGGGATGAGAGGAATAGAAGGCTTTTTCAAGGCAAAATGAGAGATTCTTCTCAGATTTTCAGAGCCATTAGACTCTCAGTTTTTACAAGAATTTTGAATGATAGTTCACATGTACATATGATAGATTTGCTTGAGGTTTTGTAACTTTCTTCTTGTTTTACCAGTTCTCTGGTAACTGGATGTTCTTCTCGTTGCTTATTTTGGTTTATGAATAAAATTTTAAGTTCATTGACCAAAAAAAAAAAATACATTGAGAACAATGAATTTGATAGTAGCATTAATGATATGATTATGTACTTGTTTTCAATATACAAAAACTTATTGGAGACAACTGCTAAAGTTTTTAATTGTTAATCATGTAGTTGATACCACTTTTTAGAAAGTCTGAATGAAATGAGATCTTCTCCTCATGCATAGTGTCCTAATATTTCCTAATGTTCTATCTTGGCCATTCACTTTACACATGTGGGCCTATTGGAGAGGATGGAGGGTGATGGAGGGGATAGATGCATTAGGAAACATTAGGAAACACTATGCATGATCAGAGGATCCCGATCCAGTCTGAACCCGCTATTGGTGTCAGGTAAAGAATTTCATGTCGTTTCTACTTCTTTTTCCGTTCAGTTCGTGGAGTTTGCTTATCTCACACGCACGAACCATGAAGGCAGAAACAACAAACTGAAGTCACCTTCTTCCTCTTTCAGTTATCTCCACTTGTTGCCATGCTCTCATCTCCAAACAAAATCATCACCCTGCCCATATCTCCACTACTATAAATACCCTTCAATCTCCGCCTACAGTCTCAAAATCATCCCTTCTCTTTCACCACACTAAGCCCGTCAAATGGCAGCATCATCATCATCATCCCTATCTGCAGCCTTCGCTTTCCTCCTCCTGGCCATGGCTCATCTCATGATCATCGAGCCGTCACAGGCGATCAACTGCATGGACGTCGACCTGGCGCTTCGCCAGTGCGTGCCTTATCTGACAGGGCAAGCAACAGACCCCGCTGCAGCATGCTGCGACGGGATCGGCCAAATCAAGAGCATGGCCACGACCACGCCAGACCGACAGGCTGCGTGCAGCTGCATGAAGGCGGCCGCAGCGCACCTCCCCGGTCTTGTAGATAGCGCTGTGAGCGCCTTGCCGGCGAAATGCAATGTTCCTCTGCCTTACCCTATCTCTGCTTCTGTTGATTGCACCAAGTGAGTTATTTCTATTCCCTCCACATTTATGTCTCGCTTTTTTCTGCTTCTGCATTACATGATGATTTTTCAAGATTGAAAACCATGGTCATTCACTCAGACTTCCACTATTTTTGTTTCTTAAAAAAAGTTGTTAATTTCTTTTTCCTTTGAATTGATTTGTGACCCATACTTTTACTTCTGCAGGATCCAGTAATGTGGAAGATGTTAAAGGGAATAAAAGCAGGGCATGGCAGTTCAACGTTTCTTGTGTTTTTTAGTGTTTCTTTTCTACAAAATAAATGAACTTGCATGGTTAATCCTTATTAAGTTACGGAGCGGAGAACGTTACGGCTTTTTTAAAAGTGATGATTAATATCAATGCTATTGCTAACTTATATCTATCTAAAAAGTAACAAATGAACAAATGTAATAGAAGAGAGCGGTTGAAGCTATATAAGCTATACCTCTTCTCATATTTGGGTAGTGACATTACTATGTTCCTATGCGCTTTGCTCCATTTGCTTTGAAAGCAAAAAAATAATAGAGTTTGTTGAGCCTCAAATGCAGTCAGGATATTTAATTTTAGGGTTAATTTCAGGATACCCCAGCATGGCGGGTTGTCTTGTGAAAATAGTGTCGAGATTCCAAATGCACAATCAAGTTATATTATAGTATACAATGTCGATCCCACAATGAATGTGTGTAGGAAAAATTCTAACATGGATCCTAGAGATGTGTATGGACAATTAAGAGTGAAAATATGGAGAGATAAAGAGAATGAGTGATTATTTACAAATAAAAATAAAACAAGAGGGGAGAAAGAGAGTGGACAACTAAAAGGAAATAAATAATAACAAAGAGCAGAAATAAAGGAAACTAAAAAAGGACAAATTCATGACTAGAAAAACTACCCACAAAGAGAAAAATAATCAAAATAAGTAAAATATGGATGAAATCAAGAGAAAATATAGAAATCTAGAATTGAATCCACCAGTTGATTTCATTTGGAATTTATGAACTATTCTTTTTTTATCATATCTTACTTTAGATTTATTAAGCATAGACTATCAAACCACTTAAGAAAAGTAAAATCTATCATATTATCATCCAAGCAAAATCATCATTCATTAAAAGAATAAGTAACTAGATAGTAATTCTAGAATGCATAAGCATAACCAATTAAACCACTCAAGATAAGCATAAATTATTAAATTCTTCTTCTATCAATTAGTTCTCTAGCTGATTATCCTAAGCATGATCATTTTGAGCATAAGAGAGCAATTTACAAATCATAAAAGAAATTAAACTAGTTTCTTACGATTATAAAATTCCTACAAGAATTAGTTATACATTTTGAAAAATAAAAATAAGAAAATAGAACCTAGGCTAGAAAGTATAAAAGAAAGAAAATAAAAATAACAACTAGTCTATAAAAATAACAATAAGAATAAGAAAATAAAGATCTAAACTATAAGCATAAAGCAAATCCAACTAACAAAATTAAAAGAGCATAAAAGAAAATCTATACTAAAAAATACTAAAAAATAAATTCTACAAAGTACAAAAATAAATAACTGTAGGCATTGAAAATTGCCTATAGTTCTCCACGAACGGTTCAGTGTTAAAGAGCGACGATGAACGTCACTATCCGGTCCACAGGAGTCCAATTGACGTCGACAAACGATTGAAGTGAATCGACGAGCTACGTGAGCGGATAGGATTTCGGAACAACGAAGACCCGGACCAATCGGGAATCCGGCGGTGTTCACAAAAAGGATAACGCCCCTCGTGCCTCGACCACTCTACAGATAATCCAACCACCAGAGCGGATCGAACTCTTCGTCAAGCATCCAACGCATCCACCCCCTAGACCCTCTACACACCTATAAATACCCCCCCTTGGTGCCTTGATTTGAGGAGGATTTTTGGAGAGCTTGGCGAAGCCCTGCTGCAGTGAAGAGTGCCCGTGAGCTTCAACAAGAGGAAGAGAGGTCTACATCAGTCTTCATCGCCCGTCAGATCCTTAGTATCGGCCTTAGCGTTGATACTAAGAAGAGCTATTACCTCGCTTTAGCCGAGGTATACGCTTATAGCTTCTAGATCTCACGCGGATCGACGAAGCTCTGCCCGATTTTCTCGGAGCAGATTTGAGTGCCCGGTGGTCCACGGATATCAACATCCCCGTCACAGGCAAAAGACCCACGCAAGCAAGAGACCGCAAAACAGGATCTTGCGTTTGTTTGAAGGGAGTTGTAATCTTTTTTTTTGTTTTCATTGTGTAAGAGTCTTATAAAAAGACAATCTTTTTTCTGTTTCATTGTAACGATTGAAGTTGTAATGAGTACAGCAATGAATACAACAACTTTCTCCGCAAACAAGCTGGCGACCACAGTGGGACCCCCGGGTGTTGTGGGTCCTGTTTTGTCCCCGTACGCCTGTTTTAGGCCCGAATTCGCCCGTTTTCGTCGATTATTGGATGTCTTGATGAAAATCGACACCAATCAACATTCGACGATTTGAAACCCTAAGGGTCAACGCCTGTCAATGCGTAACCCTAGGTCAACGCCAGTCAACGCGTTGCGACAGAAGTCAACGTTCGAGGATTTAAAGTCCACACTAATCAACGTTCGACGATCCAAAAACCCTAGGGTCAACGCCGGTCAACGCGTAACCCTAGGTCAACACCGGTCAACGCGTTGTGACGAAAAGTCAACACGCGGTGGTCCGAAACCCTAAGCCAGCACAATGTGACGGAGGTAGTTCAAAGTCAACTCAATGACACGAGCCAAACTCAATTCATCAGCTGCAGACTCGAGACTCCGACGACGGCCAAGCGATAAACGCAGTGCCGGAAGAACTTCGGCTATTCGTCAAAGCATCGAATAGACCAAAAATCGAAGGAGCCAAGAGTCGAAGCTAACCACAGGTCCTTATGCCGACTGAAGGTTAGACCAATCACATCCAAAGTATTCCAGCCTCTTCTATAAAAGAAACGAGTCCGAAACACTTTGGAGGGGGTATCTGTAGGCATTGAAAATTGCCTATAGTTCTCCACGAACGGTTCAGTGTTAAAGAGCGACGATGAACGTCACTATCCAGTCCACAGGAGTCGAATTGACGTCGACAAACGATTGAAGTGAATCGACGAGCTACGTGAGCGGATAGGATTTCGGAACAACGAAGACCCGGACCAATCGGGAATCCGGCGGTGTTCACAAAAAGGACAACGCCCCTCGTGCCTCGACCACTCTACAGATAATCCAACCACCAGAGCGGATCGAACTCTTCGTCAAGCATCCAACGCACCCGGAATCACTCAAATCCGAGTTCAGACGAAGAATCTACCGGGAAAACAACCGAATCAACTCAAACGGAGTCTCGAGAGGTCGAAACACCCCGGGGGTGTCTAGGAAAAGCCTAGACACCCCAGGGGTGTCTCGGCCAGGCCGAGACACCCCATAGGGTGTCTCGCTTGGCGAGACACCAGGGGGTGTCCGTCGCCCCTTCAGAGGTGCCCCTACACACTCTCATATGCCTATAAAATAGCCCCCTTTGGCCTTTGTGTTATGATGGCGTAGGAGTTGTGGGAGAGCTTGGCGAAGCCCTGCGTGCAGTGAGAGTGCGTCGGTGCGCTTCAACAACGAGCATGCGAGAGTTACATCAGCAGCCTTCTATCACCCGTCCGATCCTTAGTGTTGCCCCTTAGCGGTGATACTAAGTAGAGCGAATATCTCGATTATCCGAGATAGGAGCTATAAACTTCTAGATCTCACGCGGATCGATGAGGTTCTGCTTCTATATCCCTTCGCGGATAGACGAAGCTCTGCCCGATTTTCTCGGAGCGGATCTGATTGCCCGGTGGTCCACGGATATCAACGTCCCCGTCACAGGCCAAAGACCCACGCAAGCAAGAGATGATAAACGGATCTTGCGTTTGTTTGAAAAGAGTTGTATTTTTTTTGTTTTCATTGTGTAAGAGTCTTATAAAAAGGCTATCTTTTTGTTTCATTGTAACGATCGAAGTTGTAATGAATGCAGCAATGAATACAACAACTTTTTCCGCAAACAAGCTATACTCTGTCGGAGTCTTAAGAAGCAGTTTATACTCGTATACTTTTCGGAGTGTTGCCGTTCTCAAATGGCTTACCCTAGCGTTATGACGCCGGCTTCAACCAAGGTTTGGATGCTATTCTTTAAAGTAAAGCAAGCCTTGGTGGGATGAAGGATCCTCCTGTGGTACGCGCAGTACTTCGGATCCGCAGAATCGTCAGCTTCCTCCTGATTCATGATGGGCGGGAGCTTGATTTTGTTGTTTTCGAGAAGAGACTCGAAGATGGCGGGAACGTCTTCGTCCTTGAACGAGTACTCTTTCTGGGCCTTTTGATCCGAAGTCTTCTGCTGTCTTCGGGACTGCTGTTTTGACGTTAGAGGGTTAACCATCGGTTGGTTTCTCTCGACCTTTCGCCTTCTGATGAAGCGTTCAGCCTGTTCTCCTCGAGCCTTCAACTCTTTCCAGGTACTGAACGGTTCTATTCCCATAACATCCAAGATGTTAACGGACAAGTTGTTATGAAAAGTCTGCAATATGAATTCCTCCGTGACGGGATCCTTGCAGTTCATTGCCTGATTACGGAAGCGTTTGATGAAGGTATCCACCGACTCTCCGTCTCTTTGTTTCATATCGAAGAGTGTCCTGACCGACACTTCGGTGTCATCATCGAAGAAATGGGCGAGGAACATGCTTTCCAGGTCCTCCCAGCTGTTGATGCTTCCTGGCTTGAGACGGTACCAATCGAAGGCGGGCCCGCGAAGGGTGCCAACGAATGACCGAACCATCAAAGGCTCGTTGCCAGAGATCACCCCCAAGTGGGACTTGAAGTAGATTAGATGCTGAGTAGGCGAGCCCTTCCCGTCGAACGGCGTGAAGTTGATCAGGTTGAACTTCGCCGGATACGGGATCGAATCCCATTCTCTTGGGTAAGGACACGGAATACCGGTCTTCTTCACCTCTCGAGCAATCATCAGGGCGTCGATTTTTCTTTCGAGATCCTTCATCTTTTCGGCCTGATCTATATCCTGTTTTGGACAATTGTCGAGAGGAATGATACGGCCACCCCCAGTGTTATCATTATTGGTGGGTCCACCCCCAGCGTTGTTATTTTTAGTGGGGCCACCCTCAGTATTCTTGGGCGGTGCGTCGGTCATGACGATTTCGTCCACCTCTGGATCGCTGTCAACTGCGGCATTCTGGGTGCGACGGTCGGACTCAACTAGCTGGTTCGACAAAGCTCGGATTTGTTGGTCGTGCATTTGTCTCATCTCTTGCATAGTCATTTCTATTTCGAA